GTTGGTGGTGGAGCACGTTCTTAATCCTAGCACTCAAGAGGCAGAGGCAAGCCGATCTTTGTGAGCTCAAGGCCAGCCTGGTCTACAGTGTGAGTCCCAGGACAGCCAAGACTACACAGAGAATCCTGTCTTGAATCACTCCCCCACCCAAATTCTTGATCCTCCTGTTTCAGCCCCCCAGTGCTTTTTTAGTATGTCTTTTTTTCTTTTCTACAGTATGTTTTCTCGTTAATGGATGAGCTGGAAGTAATGCTCCTCATCCTTCTGCCCGAAGATAACGTTTTGAAGCAGTATCACTATGTAGCCCACACTGGTTTAACTCATGGCCCTGCATCAGTCTAACTGCTGGGCTTACAGGGGTGTATAACCACGTTTGGCTTTGACAGCTTTAATATTCTTCACTAGTGGAATTGTTTTATGCCTTCATGGTTTTATTGCTTTTAGTATTAAAAAGTACAAGTTCAGTCTGGTGATGGTGGTGCACACCTTTAATCCCAGCACTCAGGAGGCAGAGACAGGTGGATCTCTTGAGTTTAAGGCCAACCTGGTCTACAGAGCTAGTGCCAGGACGGCAGGACAGGCTCCAAAGCTACATAGAAACCGTCTCAAAGAAAAAAAAAGGTGCAAATTTGTACAATCAACCTATAGAAATTTAAAGTCAGACTCCACAATACCATTTTATAGTGCTAAATATAAAGGATTTGTAAGGATTTAGTTACAAATACAAAGAAATATAATACATGACATGAAAATTTACATCATTGTTGGGGACTTCGGATCACCAGACTCTGAGTTTCTTGTAAACAACTTGTTTTCCTTGGCTCTGAGCCTGCTGCAGCTGCTCTGAGTGAGACCCTGATGACAGGGGAGTGGGTTCTGATGAGTCTGCAGCTGAAAGGTCCCGAGAGCTGAGGCATGGCCAGAGCCCTATATAAGCTGCCCCTGAACACAATAAAGTGGACATTCTTGTATCAAGGATGACCCGTGTCTATGTCTCTCTGTGTATTTTTAAGTCTCCAGGCCCAGTTCCCGGCTCGCATAACGACCTGTAGTGGCTCGGGCGCTACAGGTATAGCACCGTACAGTGGGTGCTGTGCTTTACTCATAATCCTTTCTGCTTCAAATTCAGTAAACGTTTAACAGAAATCTAGTAAAAATAATGTGGAGATGGATGGCTGGGAGAGAGAAAAAAACAAACACCTCCCTGTCCTTTTACAGACAGGCAAAGACAGACCCATGAAGAGACAGGTAAGGAGTGCTGACTTGTAGGGAGCAGATCTCAGACCACAGTCAAGTCTGTCAGAGCTAATTTACTATCTCATTTTGTTCTATCAGGAAAGGGATTTATATACTGTTCGTGAAATAGTTTCACATTCCTCGGGAATCATGTTGGTGCTCAGAGTTTAGAACACTTTAGACAGTGGATTTTCAGATTTAACATTTGTACTGTGCTAAGGCAAGCTAGAAACATGGTATTTCAAAATTGTTTTAAAATATTATAGTAAATATCTATTTGGATTTAAGTGTTCTTACATATTCAAATAATAAAAGCAATCTCGACCACAACAACATTTTTTACAGTAAGATTTTATTTGAATAATATTTACAAAATAAATACAATTTTAATCACTAAGTTCTTCTTCATCACTGAAATATGTGCTTTTCTTTATCCTTGGTCGTCTGGAATCATCGGAGGCTGAGGGACCCCCTGGACTGGCTCTCCATCTGTTTTGCTCCTCTTCAATCTTGGCTTGCTGTAATATGATTCAGAAAGCAGACAAAACCCATTATGTATGGCACATCATGTTATCCAAAGGAATTACCACGAGAAGACCAGAACACAAACAATTTCCACCCTCCTAGGTCACACCGACAAATCCCAATCATGGTCCTACTCAAAAACTATCCTAGGGAAATTCCCCAGTCCCATCCCCCAAGACTACTCCCAAGATGCGTTGAACTCCTTATGACGGAAGGATGACTCTGAACTTCTGAGCCTTCTGCCTCTACTTCCATAATGCTGGGGCTGCAACCCTAGCCCATGATTATACCGTGCTCGGATAAAACCCAGAGCATTGTGCATGGTAGCAACCAACGCCCTAGCCATTTTTGTTTTTCAGTTTGTTTCGACACAGGGTTTCACTATGTAGCTTATGTTGGCCTGGAACTTGTTAGGTAGTTCAGGCTGGTGTGAACTCACGATCTTCTACCTCAACCTTCTCAGGTGAGAATACAAGTATGAAATATGATGATTAGCTCGATCCTAGGCAATTTCTAAAGATTCTTTCTAGATAAGCTAAAGACATTTTTAATCAAACCGTTGTTTTAATTTAAACAATAATTTTACCCAGGCTGGTCTTGAACTCCTGATCCTATCTCTAACTTCATATGTGTTGGGATTACAGATGTGCTAACACACCCAGCTAATCCATTGGTTCTCAACTTGTGGGTTGTGACCCCTTTGGAGGTCATATATCAGATATCCTGTCTGCATATCAGATATTTACATCATGATTCATAACTGTAGTAAAATTATAGCTATGAAGTAGTGATGAAATAATTTTATGATGGGGGTAACCACATCATATTAAAGGGCTGCACCATTAGGAAGGTTGAGAACCACTGAGCTGATCCAATATTTCTACCACCTAATTTTGTAATTAAGACAGATTAATAATATGCTAAAGTATAGACTAAAATAATATACTAAAAGTATGTTATTATATTATGGGATCTTACAGCCTAGAAAGAATGAAAGAGAACTTTTCATTCAGATAAAGACCTAAGAATAATGTGTTACCTCAAATTTACAGTGAAAGGAAAACATAGATTACATGATGATCAACACAGTGATAAAAGAATATAAACATAAACTTTAACATGAATTACACCACAGTGCCTTGTCTTATTTATACTTGATAAATTTTATTTTTCAGTTTTTGAGACAGGGTTTCACTCTGTAGTCCAGGCTAGGTTTAAACCCATTTTCCTGTTCTACACTGCTAAGTGTTGAATTCACAGACACGGCCCTGTGAATACTAACTACACTGCCCCCTTTCTCTGAGACAAAGCTTCTTCTGGTGGGTCTTGAATTCCTAGGCCCACATGGTTCTTTACCCCAGCCTTAAGGCAGGCAGGATTAAAGGCTGTAGCTTCGCTCAGTTAAAACAAATCAACCGGGACACAACACACTGTCACACTACTTCCTTCCTTTGCCCTGCCCAGCAAGTGGTCCATCACTGAGCTAGGTCCCCAGGCACCCTGATCCCTTGAGAACACCAGTACCTGAAACGCTATGGCCTGACTGAGACTGTCCAGAGCCGGATCTTCCCCTTCTTCTTCACTCACTTCGACTTCCTCACTAGGTCAGCAAAGGAAAAAAAAATTCAGCTAACAGTAAAAAGGCAAAACCACACAGCATCTTAGTGAGCCTACTATACATACACATCCTCTTCTGGTTCAGGAACTTTCTTCTTCTTCTTCTTTTCTTTCTTCTTGGGAGGCTCACGTTCTCCAAGCATGTTTTTAGGACAGGCATAACTTAAGTGTCCACTTTCCTTTTGTTAAAAAAAGAAAAAAGAAAGAAAAAAAGAATAAAGATGATAGTTGCTGTTATTGACAGGAACCTGCCCTGGCCCTGTGAATGAGAGGCTAGAATCTAGGAGAAACCATATTCTCATTGTGGGAACACAGGACCAGACATGGTCCTTCCCAATAGAAGAGACAGAGTGTGGGCTACTCTAAGGACTAGCATCTGCAGTGATAAACTAAGGAGCAAAGAAGTATTCTTTCCTCAAAATTTTAAATCTCACCTTTCGCCACACAAAAGAATTCTAAATTTAAATGGATCATCAACTCTAAAAGCTTTACATTAGCCTGATAAATGGGGTAAAATTATTTCTATTAGCTTGTAAGATGTTGACTATTCAGCTTTAAGGACAAGTGAAGGCTGGGATGCCGTTCTGGGGCAGAGCGCCTGCATGGCGGGTACAGAGCAGGGATTGGGTCCCAGCACCACACTTGTTTCTCTTTCTTACATACGTGGCTTGCATTATCATCCTATTTTGCTGAGTTGGATTATTATAAGGAGATAGAATATTGCATTGTAAAACATAGGAGCTTTGAGCTACAATCTATACATTAGCTTACTAAACTACTTAACTAACTAAACACTTGTGGCAACAACAATCAAACACATGCAATATCCAATTAACAGAAATTATTAGTTGCTTAAAATCTTTCAAGACATTAAGAAAACTAAAAAATTCATTAGCTTTTTTTTTTTTTGGCTTTTGCAACAGGATTTGTCTGTGTAGCCCTGGCTGACGTGGAACTCAGTCTGTAGACCAGGCTGACCTTGAATTTACGGAGATTCTCCTGCCTCTACCACCCGAGTGCTGGGATTAAAGATTAAAGGTATATGCCACCTGTATTTTTAGAAAACAACCTCGAAGATTCAGAAACTGGTAAAATTATTTTATATTATCTACCCTAGGTATTTTTATTCTCTCTCTTTTTGCTTTGTGATACTGAGGATTGAACCCATATCTTTTAGCATGCCAGGCAATTTCTCTCCCACTCATCTCCGCCTATAGTCCCACCCCAAGTGGGACTTTAGATACTATTAAGTTTTATATATTATTATGCGTGTGGACATGCATTTGCTACAGTCTGAGTGTGGAGGTCAGAGGACAACTTTGTGGATTAGGTTCTCTTCCACCTTTATGTGGGTTCCTAGGATTGAACTCAGGTCATTAGGCATGCATGGCGAACACCTTTACCCATGGAGTCATTTCAGTGATGTTTATATAGATGAGTTTATGTTGGTATTCAGGCATCTGTACTGGCCTACCCTTGAGGTCCTGACAGGACATGGTCTCAGCTGCAGTCACTAAGAGCACCTCTTGTGCACATTCACTATGTTCCCTTTTCTTGCTGCTTCTCTGCCTGTCTGTCTCTTCTCTCCTACTGTTTCTGTCTCCAGAGGCTGTTCTCCCCTTTCTCCTGCTCCCTTTTCCCATTCACTTTCTCCCAATAAAAAAATCCCTCCACCTGAGCTCTGTCGCATGGTGTCTTTCTCTCACATGCTGCTTTTTTAAAAATTACAACAATTTACACTCTTCAAGACAAGTCGCTTTCATAATCTGGGTTTAGCCAGGCAGAAATTTTGGTGAGGAGTTTGGGGTTCAGCTCAGACAGCAGAGTGCTTGTGTGGCATGTAGAACGCCTTGGTAACTCATAAACTAGAAGTGGTGGGGCATACTTGTAATGCCAGCATCTTAAATTCATGATCATCACCTACTGCATGGGGGAGTGTGAGCCAGCCTGTGCTACATTAGACCTATCTCAAACCAACTGAAAACAATCTCAACAAAAATGAAATCGTGGTGAGGCTGGGGAGATAATACAGCGGGGTAAGAGGGCTTTTGCTGCAAGTCACTAGCTTAGCACCAAGTTTAGAGACTCTTGTTAAAAGGGAATAAGTGATTTATCAGGCAGGATTTTTGGAGTCCTGTGTCCTCCATCCACCCCAGAGTCTCCCTTTCTGTGAACACCGCCTCTCCTGCAGGCACCACTAAAAGACTAATATAAAGATCACTTTATACTACAGAAGAGTTACCGAATTTTAGGTTTACTTACCCCACACTCATAACACTTAGACTTATCAAAGTAGTTTCGCCGTCGGATGAACTCAGCTGCTCTTCCATTATCAATAGCAATGCTTGCCTTTATCACTCTACCAAATAACTAAATCAGAGAAAATGTAAATACAGAGGATGTAGTTCACCAAGACTTCGTTATCAGATACTGTCTCCTCAATTCTTGTTTAATAAATGTGACAGATTCTATGCCATAATTTCCCCTTCAGTCTTCCAATGTTTTGATAACCCAATACAATGCTGACATCGTTTCTCCTCAATTACAGATAGTAATCAGACTTTATGATCTCCTGCAGCCCCACTGCTCTTGCTTTAGATGAACACAGACACTTTTGGGTTACAACCTTGATGAAAAGAATGGCTTACCTGTTTGTTATTTATTGCTCTGGTGCAGTTTAAGGCAGAGTCTTTATCCAAAAACAAAATAAACGCAACACCTTTACTCTTCCTCGTGTCTTTGTCTTTCATTATAGTAACCCTTAAAGCACAAAGAAACAGTTAAAAAAAATAAGACAAAAACTTGTAACTACTCAGGAAACTCAAGATGATTTTTTTTAAATCAGGTTAAATAATAAAACATTTGAAAAGAGAAATTTAAAAAATCATTAGTGGTAGAGGCTTGTGATTCCAACACGTGGCAGAGGGAAATGGAAGGAACAGGAGTTCAGGGTCATTCTTGGCTCGAGAGCTTTAGGCCAGCCTAGGCTAGGAGACCCTGTCTAAAGAAAAATGACTTAAACCATCCAGCTCCTCAAAGTCCTGAGGGATCAAGGAGATTGGAAATGAGAAAATGACACTGACAATACAGAAGAGCACAGCTAGAATGGGAGCTATCAGAGCTTGAAGGGTCTAGTTGATAGACAGGCTGATCCAATTGCTACAGCATTATCAACTACATATCAAAATGCCTACCTCTTCCCCTTGCGAAACCAAAAACACAAGCTGAGGCATTCTCATGTATACAGAGAGCAAAACGATTTACTATTTTTCTTAAGTTTTAGATCCAAGTGTCTTCATTTCAAACAATTTCCAGCTTAGTGGTCCTTAGCTCTTCCTCAGTGCCCCAGGCTATAGGGGTTGCTAACCGCATGTCATTTAGTGTAATTTAGAAAAACAATGCTTGAATCTGCTATGGTGGCACATGCTCTGTGCCAACACTCAGAATGCTAGGGCAGGAAGACTTTACCAAGATGAAGGCTTGTATATAGTGAGGTATGTAGTGAGGTATCTATCCTTTTGTTTATTCATTTGAGATTTTTATTTTATGTGCATGGGTATTTTGCCTTCATGTATGTTTGTGTTCTATGTATGTGTATTGCCTGAGAGTCAGGTGCCCTGGGAACTGGAATTACAGTTGCCAAGTAGGTGCTGGGAATCAAACCTGGGTACTCTGGAAGAGCACTCAGTGTCCCTGATGGCTGAGCCTTTTCGCCAGCCTGAGACTGTAGCAAACTTTTTTGTTGGCCACCAGCTCACAAATAACAACACGGAGACTTAATTATGAAAGCTTGAACTTTAGCATAGGCTTGTCTCCACTAGCTCTCATAGCTTAAATTAACCCATTTATATTAATCTACATTCTGCCACATGACACTACCTCTCTTCCATCTTGTACCTCCTTTTTCTTCTGCACCTCTGGCCGGCAACCCCACCTTTCTGCCCAGAGTTCTCTCTCTGTCTGTAAGTCCTACCTATACCTCTTTTGTAGATATTAGCCATTTAGCTTTTTATTGCACCAACTACAGCAACACATCTTCGCATAGTGTACAAATATTCTACAAAATGTATAAAAACAATGTGTACACATACATGTATATATTCATAGTCAAGGGAGTGCACGCTACAGAGCAAGTGGAAATACTAAAGACAGGTACATGTGGATAAAGGAATCTTTTTTTAAAAGGTAACAGTGCTTTGTTAGTGAATTCCCAGCACTCACTTAAAGGCTGGGCATGGCAGTCTTGGTGAGCAGAAACTGGTATATCCCAGGAGCTCATTGGCAAGCCTAGCAGAAGCGGTTAACCTCAGGTTTAGTGAGAGGCCCTGAGCTGAGAGGGAAGTAGAGTGGTAGACCCAGGGCACCTGCGGTCCTCCTGTCTTCTCTATGTGCATGTGTCAGAGTGTGCGCACACGAACAAAAGGGAGGGCATGCTACTTCTACTAGATACCTTATTCTTCCTTGCTTCCACCTCTCAGTCCTTGCTTATTGAAATCTGCCTTATTTACAGGGCTTAAGATTCTGTTTCTGTCCTAATATATACTATGGAAATCACTTCTCCTTTCTACTAATTAGGTTCTCCTTCATTTATCTATTTATTAATATAGATAATGCCTCGACTCATCTACTTTAATGTAAAGTCTTTTAATGCTACCATTGTAACCTGTTTATTTTGCTCATTACATTGGAACAAAAACACATAACATGTTTCCTAAAAGGGTACACCTACATGGTTGTTCATTTGGATACTCAGCCACTGTTAGATTCAGGCTTGGGCAATGAACACTATAGAGGAAAAAAAAAAGTAATGTACCCCCAGGGGAAAAAAAGTTTAGTAATGGAGACACTGTAAACCAGTTATAATAGGGGCCACACTTACAGATCTCTTCTTTGGTAACTGGAAAAAAAATATCATAGCAAGGACTTCAAAACAAAACAAGCAAATCTGTAATGACCTCTGAGTTCCCAGATGCAGAACGAGGTGTTTTCAGACGTGGGATAGGTGTGAGGGGCTCATTCTAGCGTACACTGTGAAGCAAACACGTTCCTGAAACACGGAGGCCATCCCATCACATTCTTCTTGCATATCCAGTCCTTACATACCCCAAACATAACTGATTTAACTCCCAAATGCTCTCTCAAAGATGAACAGCTTTTCCTTGGGACCATTTTGTTCCAGGTTTCTTCCATGGTGTAGTTGCAGATTTAAGTCTAACTATCTCAATTTGGCTGAGAATAACATCAAACTGGTCTACAGAGGGAATTATATTTACTTGGAGCTAATGAGGATTGGTATCCAGTAAAACAGATTCAAGTAGTCTTTTGAAGATGTGTTCCAAGGATTTATAAAATAGCGCTGTAGTTGCGGCTTTAAAACTACAAATGGGCTTGAAATCACAGCACTTCTTAAGAGTTCTGACTGTGCTCAGTACTGGTCTCTAGGTAGTTTGGGGGTCAACAGAGGTTAAGAATGTTTCAGGGATTAACTCATGGGGTGGGAGGCAAGTCTACAGCCAGTTCAAAGGTTTGGCTGTAGAGATATCTGACACCATTTTCACAGTGGCTTGACACCACCATGAGTACCGAGTCAGTGTTACTCCAGTGTAGTCCCCCCCTTGACATTTCCAACTCATCAAGAACAAGCTCTGAAACCTTCACGGAGCTCAGAGTTTAGGAGTGCTCTTAGTAAGTCTGAGGCCCTGAAATCGGTTCTCAGCAATATTAAGACAATGCTCTTAAACTATTACATATTTATAATACATAGTCACTTATGATATGAAAACTGTCAGGTGCTTATGTACATGGATAAATAACTGAACTTTACATAAAAATGTTAACAGTAGTATTTTTATTTAATCAAGTATCTTGTAACATAACTACTTACTTCACAACTTTGCCATACTTGGAAAATATCTGAAACAAAAGATCACAGAATAATTTATAATTTAAAATATTATAAAAATTAAATATTCTGATTGTATACACTAACCAGATTCTTCACTATATTTTATGAAGAATTTCAGCCTTCAGTCTATGTAACAGGTAGATCATGACTTAGGGGCCACCTTGGGCAACACAGCAAAACCCTGAATCAACAAACCAAAAAAAAAAAAATTTTTCTAAATTACTAGAATAATATAGTTACTGGAGTTAAAGGTAATCTGCTTCAAGTTCCTAAACTCCCCCTAGGGAGTGGACGGAGAGAAAAAACCATCGACATGTCTAGATCTTCGGCATACGCACTAGGTAGCAGCTGAATTCCCGATCTATGGGACTATCAAACCCAGCAGAGCTCCAGCTCAACCTGTACTGTGGAATATCACAGTACCAATGACTTAAACAATCAATGTTTAAAGAAAGACAGAGCTCTGATTAAATACATAACCAAAAGCTTCCTATAATAAAAAAAGCATCTCCAGCCAGGAGTGTTATAAATGTCTAAAATCCCAGTATTCAGAAGATGGAAGCAAGAAGACCATGGCAAGCCCAGGCTACAGAGCAAGATCTCGTTGGCAAAGATAACAAAAAAACAAGGATCTTTTTATTTCTACATGTGCAGTCCTTGTCCCATCATTAGTATAACAGTGGGGCTTTCGTCCCTTGTACTTCTCCATACATCCTAACAAACTTTCCCATTTCTATAGTTTCAGCATCATTAATATTCTGATGTTATTTAATGCTTAGAAATAATATTCCTAAGACAAGGCATCTAGATCTTATTGTGGAGCCAGCCATGATAAGCTAAATAGAAACAGACTACCCAAAGGAAGTTCTTTACTTCCAACCATTATCACCTGCCAGAGCAGAACTCAGCCATCATAACCTTAATGGAGGTCTGAGTCTCAGTGGTTTACCCTGAAGCAATACCTGGTTGCAGGAAAACTAAGATTACCTGAGCACCACCCAAGAACAGACCATCCAAAGGAAATGCCTAAAGTTCCAACCTTTGTAGATAGGATCACCTGCCAGCACACTTACTTGTCCTTGTTGGCTTTTGGGGGACTTTGCAGATCTGGGCATAACACTTATCACATGCAGTTTAGTAATGAAATGCTGAGTTCTGGGTCTTAATGTAAGCAACATTAGATTCCAAGGCCAGCAGCTTCTGTGTAATTGCAACTTTCTAATGGGCTCTCATTTCAGAGCGAAGCTAGAGAGATTGCCTTAATCAGGCCTGTATAGCAAGGGGAGAGTAAGTTTACTTATCCTACCCTTCCTTGTGGAAATGATTGTGCTCCAGACACCTGGACAACTACTTCCTACTGCTTCAGTTTTATTCAAAAGTCACCTTTTGTTTGTTTGTGACGAGGTCTTGTGCATTCCAAGCTTGCCTCAAAGTCCCCATGTAGCTGAGGATGACATGGACTTTCCAATATTCAGCTGGAAATCATAGGTCCATTGTCAATCAATGCCCAGTTTATGTGGTGCCAGGGATCGATCCCACACAGGGCTTTGTGCATTCAGGGCGAACATTCTTCCAAATACTTTACACTCCCAGCCGCCAGTTGCGGTTATTTCTTAGCACCCAGTCTAGGATTTCACCTCTAAGTCTAATTTGGTATCCCTCTTTACTGTTCTCATTTGTGAGACGGGGTCTAAATTGCCCAGTCTGGCCTCCTGCCTCAGCTTCCCTTGTGCTGGTTACAGGAATGTGTAACTACGCTAGGCAAGTGGTCCATCTTGGTTTTTGTTTGAGATAGCATACTACAGTTTCAGCTAGCCTTGAACTCACGATCTCTTGCCTCAGCTTTCAGACTGTCAGGATCAGAGGCATGCATCATCATCTAGCTGATTATAAAGCACATATTGTTTTCTTTATATAAAATCAGTAGTGGTGCACGCCTTTAATCCAAGCACTTTGGAGACAGAAGCAGGTTCAAAGCCAGCCTGATCTACAAATTGAGTTCCAGGACAGCCAGGGCTATACAGAGAAAGCCTGTCTTGAAAAAACAAAACAAAAAAAAAAAAAAAAAAAAAAAGGGAAAAAAATCAAAAATTCTCTACAGACGTTAAAATTTTAAATTATTTTTTATGAAAATTTACAGGAGATATCTACCAAGAATTTTCCAGAAAGCAGTAATTTGCTTAAGCTACAGTTTCTCTCTCTCTCTCTCTCTCTCTCTCTCTCTCTCTCTCTCTCTCTCCCTCCCTCCCTCCCTCCCTCCCTCCCTCCCTCCCTCCCTCCCTCCCTCTCTTTTTTTGGATTTTCCAGACAGGGTTTCTCTGTAGTTTTTGGTACCTGTACTGGAACTAGCTAGTGTAGACCAGGCTGGTCTTGAACTCACAGAGAACCATCTGCCTCCCCAGTGCTGGGATTAAAGGCATGCACCACCACTGTCCGGCTTCTAAATTTTTTTTTTTCACAGTTTTTCTCTTAAAGAGAAAATTCATTAGTTAGATACTGACAGCAAAACTTACCCTGTATAAATCATTGTTCGTCAGGGAGAAGGGCAAGTTGGATACATACACTGTGCTCTTACTTGGAGCCAAGCCACCACTCATTTCTAAAATGGAAAACAAACCATCAGGAGTCTCATTCCAAATACAACCAAACGCTGGCAATCACTGATTTCATTAAGGCAGCACTCTACAGCCTCCATTCAAGTAAAGAGATTAGAGTAGGTTCTGTGGGGGTGAGGTGTGAATTACCATAATCCTTTTCAAGCAGCGGATGTCTGCTGCACTGCGGTTTAAAGAGGTAGAGAAGCCAAAACGCTATTTTTTTCTGTCTTTTGGGGGTAAAAGCAAAAAGATGCTTTCCAAGCACATGCTATCTATAATTTTCCTGCCCACCTCCGAAAGAGATACCTGCCAATCCCTCCTTTTTGTTCTTGGTTTGGTCCCCCGGCAACCACCCCGGCAGGGTTTCTCTGTAGAGCTCTGGAGCCTGTCCTGGAACTAGCTCTTGTAGACCGGATCGGCCTCGAACTCAAGAGAATCGACTGCCTCTGCCTCCCGAGTGCTGGGATTAAAGGTGTGCGCCACCACTACCCGATTTGTTCTTTTTTTTTTTTTTTAACTCCTCAACCTCCTGTACCTGTAAAATACATGGATTACAAGCACAGGCCACAACACCTGTCTCATTTTTGATAACTTTGGATACTTGTTATTTTCTTATTATTTGTCTCCCGAGTGATTTTTCTGCAGGAAATTTAGCTTCATATTTTGATAAAGTTATTAGCTTTTTAAATTTTGTGCCTAAACAATTTATAAAGTGGCATTATTTTATTAAATGAATTACGTGTTTTGAATGGACATTAACCTGTATATTTATAAGAATGCTCAGTAATCAATTCACCGGCTTACAACCCTGCAAATAACCAGGGGAAATTACATTCAACCTAAATGAATTTAACATTTTGATTTAAAAAGCGCAGGTGTCGGCAGGATTCACAAGTACCTGGAATAACAATGTAACTACCCTAAGAATGATAATGGTCCAACCGGAAGAGAGCTTCGGGCCCGGCACGGGGGTGGGGTAGGATATTTAAAAAGCCTCAGGTAGCCAACATCTGCAGGTCACTTCTCTAGTTTCTCAGGTAGAAAGGCCATGTGGATTGGACGTCCCCAGGTTCGGGGCCGTGGAGGTTTTGGGGACCCTGGGGGTCGCGGGAGCCGGGGGGGCTACAGGGGTCATGGGGCTGCGGCGTCGCTGCTTACCTTCAGTGCAGCGGCCCCGAGTGAAGGCTGCGAGCCCGCGGCGGCCTCACCCCCAGCTCCTCTCTGCGGGGCGAGCATCCACGGCCAGAGCGCGGAGCAGCGCCCGCCCGGTCCCACCGATTGCGCCGAGCAAAGCCCCTCCGGATCCACCGAGAGCGCGGAGCAGCGCCCCTCCGGATTCAACGAGAGCGCGGAGCAGCTCCACTCCAGATCCACGGAGAGCGCGGAGCAGAGCCCCTCCGGTCCCACCGAGAGCGCGGAGCAGAGCCCCTCCGGTCCCACCGAGAGCGCGGAGCAGCGCCCCTCCGGTCACCCCGAAAGCGCCGAGCAGCGCCCCTCCGGTCCCACCGAAAGCGCCGAGCAGCGCCCCTCCGGTCCCACCGAAAGCGCCGAGCAGCGCCCCTCCGGTCCCACCGAAAGCGCCGAGCAGCGCCCTTCCGGTCACCCCGAAAGCGCCGAGCAGCGCCCCTCCGGTCACCCCGAAAGCACCGAGCAGCGCCCCTCCCGTAACACCGACACCTCAGCGAACGCGGGCCCGGGCTCGGCGCGCCCGGTGACGTCACTGCTTGCGCCGGAAGTTCCTTCGAAGAGAGCGGACGTCTGCCTTCGCGGGTTTCTGCGGCAGAAGCGGAACGTAGGTGAGCGAGTCGCTCTCCCCAGAGGCGCGAGGGGCGCATGCGGCGGGAGGGTTGCCGGGCGGGCGTTTCCTGCCGCGTCGGAGGTGTGCATTCTGCGCTCGTGGTGGAACCTGGAGAGGCCCAGTGGATTTGGGCGGAAAGCAAAATCTTGAATGTGAGACACAGGTTCGGCTTCTTGTTGGCAGTTTAATGTGCAAAAACGATACGAAGCTAGGTAACTTGAGTGGCCTGAGGTCAGTCAGGAAGTCTGTGATATTTATTTTTGGACATACCCGGCTCCTTACTAGGCACTTTGAGAGACTGAAAAAGTGCAAGAAATAGCCCATTTGCTGTTGAGAATCTCAGTGTGGCCGGGGGAGACAAAGCCAGCGTGGGGAGAGTTGGATTCACAGAGTGACCCATTCTTGAGTACTGGCATGGACAGATGTCGAGCTTCTTGGTTCCTTTCCGCTCTCTCTCCCCTCCTCCCGTAAATACGGAATGGGCACACGCTGATTATTCCTTAAGAGGTCGTCCTGGGCCGTTCATTTTTACAGAGAAATCAGGAAATAATGCATGGTAGTTTATACTTAACTTCTACCCAGCAGCACACCCAGACCAGGCCTGTAACTACCCCCTGGGAACCTGCGTGTCAGCAGCCCGGAGCCCCGAGCCCGTTCTGAAGCCTGCACAATCAATCCTGACTGAAGCGGAGGGACGAAGTGCAATCCATCCAGGGCGCAGCAGAGTTTTGAGAGGCACTAATGCCTTGGCGTCCACCAAGGGACCACTGGCAAACTTGTGGCCAGCCAAAACTACCATGCTTCCCATCCCGGTTGTGCTTGGTTATCGCCCACGATGTAAGCCCCTTTTCTATGCGTTATTTCACCTCCGTGCTGTTTTGTGCTTCCTCTCCCTTGATTTGGGGTATCGCCACTTCTTCAGTTCACCCCCGAAGACACTGTGCTCTGTGCAATCGATTTTGTCCGCTTACCAAACTCACATATTTAAGCCTTGTTTTGAAATTGTCTTTCATTTTCAACCTTAGGTGTAGCTTTCGCCTTTAAACTGAACTCGTTTTCAAACACCTGTGTTCTAAGATTGGCTGTTATTCCGTATATACCTGATTGATTGCGTTTCCTTAAAATCTTTTTTTTTTTATACCCTCTCTTCAATGTCTTGCTTCCTTTTGGGTCCTCTGACTTTTCAGCCCACTTAGCCCTCGTTCCAATAATATAATTCCCATTCTTTTTTTCCTTCTAAGCAGGGACTCTCAGTGTGGCCCAAACTGGCCTGGAACTGGTGAGCCTCTTTTGCCTCGGTCCTCCCAGAGTTCTGATTACGGCCCTTTCTCTTTTTTTTTTTTTTTTTTTTTTGGTTTTTCGAGACAGGGTTTCTCTGTGGCTTTGGAGCCTGTCCTGGAACTAGCTCTGTAGTCTCGAACTCACAGAGATCCCCCTGCCTCTGCCTCCCGAGTGCTGGGATTAAAGGCGTGCGCCACCATCGCCCGGCTGATTACGGCCCTTTCTGAGGCTTAGCAGTGCTCTATTTCTGAGTAGTCCCCTCCCTAACTTCCTGGAGTTAGAGTTCTTTAAGTGTTTATTTCCCTCCTACCACACGGTCGTTTGTTTCTTAATTGTTTCGTTTGTTTCTTAATTGTTTGTATCTTTTGTCTTTATACTGATAGCTGTGAGGGAGGCTGTGTTTGTCTTGCTTATCTTTGGAATGCAACTTTCTATAGTTTTAGGGGTTAATGAATATGTAAGTGGCAAGAATTGGCTGCCTGCTACTTAGCTATAACAAATGGATGATTTGTGAGGTGTGATCTTGGTCAACCAGTTTGTTCAAGGAACAGTTCAAATTCCTTTCTTTTGTATATTTGGGGGGGGTGTCTGGTCTCAAATTCAGCAGAGATCTGCCTGCTTCTGCCTCCCGATTGTTTGAAGGTGTTCAAATGCTATTAACAACAAGAACAACAAACCCTCAACAACTACAAACCCTATACCTCAGCCAGCCCCCTCCCCCAGGGTTTCTGGATTTCTTTGTGTAGCACTGGCTGTCCTGGAACTCACTCTGTAGATCCAGCTGCTTCTGCCTCCTGTGGTCTGGGATTTAAGGCATGCATCACCACACGTGGTTTGAATCTCAGCTTTTAAGTGTTTTTCTGATAAAAGTCACGTGTTGTCTACTGATTACTAATTTGGGATCTCTTTTAGGTGTTGGAGAGGACTAATGATGTATTTTTAGAGAATAACAGATTTATTTATTTATTTTGGTTTTTCGAGATGATTTCTCTGTAGCTTTGAAGCCTGACCTGTCACTTGATCTGTATAGACCCGGCTGGCCTCAAACGTGCGGAGATCCACCTGCCTTGCCTCCCAAGTGCTGGGATTAAAGCTGTGCGCCACCACCACCCGGCAATCTTTGGCTCTTAATTGTAGATACTGACTCGATCTGTTTTATTATCTTGGTATAACAGATTTTAGTTCAGGGACATAAAGTTACATTACAGAATAAAACAGATAACAATGTAGTATTTTAGGTCAGATGCATTCAGGGTGATATTTCTATAGACCAGGGCAGTGTAGTATTTTAAATTTTAACAAAACTGATGGGATAGTGAGTGGCACTGGGATTATAGACTGTATTAACCACCATGTGGGTGCTGGAAACCAAACCCCTAGCTTCCAAAAGAGCAACTAGTGCTCTGAATGACTAAGCCATCTCTCCAGGCCCTACTCTGTTTTTAACTGATGAAGGAAATCATAGGAAAGATATATATTAGTGGGGTATCATTAATGCTTAAATACATAAATGTATTTCTTAATTTGGGGTCACGATAAACATTTTTCTTCAAATACCATTTCCTTTTTTTTTTTTTTCTTTTTTCCCGAGACAGAGTTTCTCTGTGGTTTTGGAGCCTTTCCTGTAACTAGCTCTTGTAGACCAGGCTGGTCGCGAACTCACAGAGATCCACCTACCTCTGCCTCCCGAGTGCTGGGAATAAAAGGCGTGCGCCGCCACCACCGCCCGGCTCAAATACCATTTCTTTATGGTAAAGTTTTTCCAAATTCTTATAGACTTTTGAAGTATATTAACTATTATTGTTATCCATCACCTTTCTACTATACAAAGGAATGAAATTGGGGTTCAACCTGAATATGCAAAAATCAGAGCAGCCAGCCAGCCACTGGCTCTTAACTCAACCTCAGTCCAAAAATAGCAATCCTGCCTCTAAGAATCTCAGAATGAGACTGTATTTGAGAGCTGTCTCCTCCCGTTTTATAATCCTCTCTAGGACTGGGCTTATAGGCGTGAACTACTGGGCTTAAAGTTCTGCACTGCCCGGTTTCTATGGCAATTAGTGTGGCTACAGGGATTAAAGGTGTGTGTCATTGCTAGCTGGTCTATAATGCTGGCCAGTGTGACTGTTTTACTCTCCCGATCCCCAGGCAAGCTTTATTAAATACAAGTGAAATACCACAACTATGAAACGCCAGGACTTAATGCCCTACTTTGCTATAATTGTCCCCATTTATTAACCTCTCTCTATCCTTTTCTTTTGCTAGTCTTCTTGACTCCCACCCAGTAACCATCGCTATTTCCAATTAAGAAGTTATGAGGTTTACATGTTTCTTANTTTTTTTTTTTTTTTTTTTTTTTTTTTTTTTTTTTTTTTTTTGCCTGTTCCTTTTTGTGGTAATTTAATTCAAGGTCCAGCTTGACCAAGGGATGTAGCAGAGTGGCGGAATGCTAGCATGTATGAAATAGTGGTGTCAACCCGAAGTTAAAAAAGCACCGTAAGGCCATGAGCCAGCTTGCTTAGAGATTCCTCTTTTTGTAGTTCACACTGTCCTGTGATTCTGATATGTGAGATAATCTATCTTCCAAACTGATAGGCAGAAAATTCCAAACTGGATCAGGAACAACCTGAAAATATGGTTTCCATTCTGCAATCTGGTAGTGTGTCACCCCCTGGGATGTCTGTGCTGCTCCTAACAGAGCCCAGTCTTTGTAGGAGAGCACTCTGCTGGCCTTTGAGTTTCAGGTGAACACACCCCATATTCACACTCTGTCTTAGTTAGGGTGATCTGATGAGAAGCATGACCAAAAGCAAAGTTGGGGAAGAAAGGGTTTATTTAGCTTAAACTTCTTCAGCACTGAAGGAAGTCAGGACAGGAACTCAGATTGGGAAGGAAACAGGAAGCAGCAGCTGATGCAGAGGCCGTGGAGGAGTGCTTCTTACTGGTTTGCTCATCATGGCTTGTCTAGCCTGCTTTCTTATAGAACCTAAGAAGGACCACCTGCGTCATGGGGATGGCATCAACCACAGTGGACTGGGGCATTCCCCATCAATCACTATCACTAATTAAAATGCCTTATAGCTGGATCTTATGGAGGCATTTTCTCAATTGAGGATCTCTCCTTTCAGAGTATTCTTGTGTCAGATTGAACAGCTTTCATTACAGGTTCTCCTCCCTTTTTTTATTTTACATTATTGTACTTAATTTTTTGTTAAGGACCTCATATAG